TATTAAAAATAATTTATTTCATTCATTAAACTTGAAAAAATTATTTGTAAAAGGTTATAATCATTGAAAAGACGACTTACCTTTTGTAAAAGTAAAGGGCCAACGATGAATGATATACCTTGGCAATATCCAACCTCTTTATCATAAAGTGAATACGCTTTTACGACGTTGAATAATCCTTCTTGACCTATTCCATCTTGATCTTGAAAATATTCGTGCTTAGGAAAAGTACGATTCAAATCCCTCAAAATCATTTTTTCATGAGGGCTTGTTTCCTTCAATAATTGGGCGTATGTAGCTTCCAGTTCACTGTCTTTGGACTTAGACATAAGTTGCCATATCATACCACGTAATGATTGTGGGATTCCTTTTTGAATCATTTTTGACAATTCACGGGGCTTCGTCCTAGCAACCGTCTCATAATCGGAAACAATTTGACCCCAAAAGTCTAAGAATTAAGTAATAAAGAATCAGTTAAAAGAATAATTGACATAATACTATAAAATATAAAGAAGAAATTACCCCAATCGATATCATCTTCAACATTAGCCTCAACAGCTTCGCTATGAACACGTTCAAAGCTAGCCCTAATTTCAGCCATTCCTTGAATAGACATCCTTCTTGCTTTTGGATCTTCTTGTAAAATTTGATTTTCTTTTTCAAGTCTCGCTAACAACAAATCATAATTGGAACCAGTTGATGACATTGACCCAACAGACATACGGCTTTCATCATTTTTAGAAATCACCGAAGTAGTAGGAGAACGACCAGTAAAAAGTGTTGATAAGGCACGTATAGAAGTTGGAGTTTTTGGGAATGACCAGTCCGTAAAACCCCAATCTTTTGATGCCTCTTCAGTGTTAAGGGAATCATCTTCCAAAGATATATCATTCAATTCAGGATTTTCGGCGAGAGAGGCAACTGACATACGATTCTCAGCACTTTTATCCTCAATAATTTCATAATTTTTAATATCTTTTTTATTAATTGATTGATGAAACGAAATTGATGAAAAACTACTTGACTTTGAAACAGTCGAGTCAGCAAAATCACTTGATTCATAGTCATTTTTTTCATCTTCAGATGAGGTTGTGGAATAACTACTATTCCGCATTGCCTCATCTTTCAAAGATTCGATAGAAACATGCTTATCTTCAGAATTTTCAGCATCTACACGGTTATCTTTATCATCTACAGACTTATCTTTATCATCTACAGGCATATCTTTATCATCTACAGACTTATCAGAATGTTCGTCAACAATAGCATTTTCAGATTTAATTGAATCTATGTTAGAATTGCCTAAAGGCGTGAGCGAAGGGTCACTCTTCTCTTCTTCCTTCTCGCATGAAGCATCAAAGGAATTACTCTGAAAAGATTCAGCATTCTGAATGTCACTTGTTTTATCAAGCGTATCGAGTGTAGCAGTATGATCGGTCAAATCGGCAGATTCACTGAACGAGTCATCGTCATAAACTGAGGAAGCAGATGATGAAAGTCTATCAACTTTATCACTTTCTTCAAAAGAAATCGAGTTCTGACTATCTAATTCATCAGGAGCTTTAAAATTTGGAGCATAGTCATTATAATTATAAGGGTCATTCTCATCTTTAGGAGTAGCAAAGGCATCGCTAAATTCATCAACCTCAGCCTCAGTTTCTTCAACGTGAGAATTAAAATGTCTTGTTGCTAAAATAGTTGGAACTTGGATTGAAAGTTCACTTTTTGTTGGTTCGACAGCAGTTGCCATTATTGTTTATATTAATATTAACCGAAATTTCCAATCACAAAAAATTGGATAAATATTAGAATAAATTCAAAACGTTGAAGAAATATAAAAGTACAATAAAAGCACAAAATATTTTTGAAATAACAAATATATATTAAGACAGATCTAAAGAATAGAGATTCATGATTCTAATAAAATTTTTCGACTTTGAGTAAAAGGCAAATATTTAATTACTATAAAGGAAAAAACCAAGGAGTCTCGCACAAATGAAACATAATTTCATATGTGTAACATTTTTTACACTACAAATATAGATTGAATTAAGCATATGTAGTACGGTAGTACTTTCACAACATAAAGGAATTTATTCAGGTTCTTCTATGATTTTCTTCCCGGCATCGACCAAATAAATACTAAATTTAGTTAGAATTATTTAGGGATCCTCTATGTGTAATCAATCTATTAATAGAAACTTGTTTTTGCATATATAGAGCAATTTCCATTCGACCATGACGATTTAAAAAAAAATATATATTTGTCCTTAATAAACATTAATAAATATTATATCAAATTGTTGTATAAAACTTATGGTAGATATATTTTATAATTTTTACAAATTTTTTTTGATGGCGGAAACTTTAAATACGATGGAAGCAAGGACGGGACGCGAAAAACAAGTATATAAGAAAGGAAGCATACGTCAGGTTTCGTTTTTTTAAAATAACTAATAAATTTATTAGATCAAATAAGATTTTTCATATCCATGATACAACATATTTGTTGATCTAATCGTATATTCTAATATTCTTTTTTTTTAGGTAGCTGGCTGCGTACCAGTTAATAAGACAACGAAAAAAATTCTGTTAATAACGCGACGGAAAAAGAAAGGTGGATGGATGCTGGTAATAATATATTTCAATTATATACTTTAATCGTATTATATACAAATAAATTTTTTATACGTTCAAACTAAAGCCTAAAGGAGGATGGGAAAATGATGAATCGGAACAAGAAGCAGCGATAAGAGAAACATATGAAGAAGGTTCGTCATTTTAATAATACATATACTGTATATTCTTGAAAATCCATGGTTAACAATTGATTTTGAATAGCTGGAGCACGAGGAAAAGTAACATCATTAATAGGTGTATGGGATCACAATGTTATTAACAAAAAAACAGGATTGCCTAAAGCAACATTTAGTTTTTTTGAAATGGAAGTAGAGAAGTTAGAAGAAAAATGGCCAGAAATGGATGAACGGGATAGACAGTGGGTTTGTATCTAACCACTTTTATTATTTTTATTTAATTAGTTTTCTGTTACATTACTAATAACTTACATGAATCTTAGTTTGCGTACGAAGATGCATTAAAAGTTTTAATAAAACCTTTTATGCGAGAAGTAGTCGAAAAATGTTCACTGGCACCATCAAATAAAAGGTCAAAAAAGGTAATATAGTTAGCTATTTATGTCTGTGTAGACAAAGATTAAGTATTTTCTTGTGAAAATCTCAATAAAATCCATGTATTTTTTTGTTAGGAATTTTCAGAATCAAATATAAATAAGAATCTCAAGGATACATGGAACTTAAAATTTTCAGCCATAGTGGTTTTCTTTGCCTTTCTTATTTGGTACTTAATCAAAGACAATAAATTCATATCTATTCTGACATAGACATTTTATTATTTTTATTATTTTCATTTTATGGAACATTTGAAGCCACATTCCATGATCTCATAATCGCTCTCTTTTTCAATTAAAATTTAATATCTGCTAGATATATATTAAATTTTAATTGCTACATATTTTATTTTTTGTTATTCTTGTATAATATTTTAAAGCATTACAGTATCATAATTTTTTTTTATACATTACTCACTGTCATTTAAGCTTATTAAAAAGCTGAAATACAACTTTTAATTAAAATCCAAAATAAGGATCGTATCTTAAAAAAAGCCTAACATGCAGTTCAAAATGTGTATTCATGTGCTTTTGCATCATTGAATTTCTCAATATTCTAAATTTGAAGTAGCCATTCAATGAGACAACTACCAATTTAAAGAGATGATACGCATAAATGGAATATTTAGTTTAGCAAAGTTCATAAAATGTTTGATACTCTGATCCACATAAAATAGATCTATGCTACGTATACTTATGACGGGCTTTAGCGCTAAAATTGCTTCATTAAAAAGTATCCGTTGATCAAGTGATATGAAAATCCGGTTACTCCATGTAAATATTAGTGTCATGTGATTCATTGAGGTAATTTGGGTGACACGGCCGACTCCAAGAATTGATTAAGCCGAGTGGACGGAATAAACAGAAAAGGAGTTAACATTACGTTATGCCAATTTTTTTTTGGATAATAAAGGCGGTGTATAAAGCGTTTACTAATATGTACAGCATATGCATTCATCCAAATTTTCAATAATAACAAATTTGTTCCTTAAGGGATTTATTATCGGTAATTTCAAAGCCATCTGAAAGTTCCTAGTTCCAATCTTATGTTCTCATGTTCTCATGAGAACATACCTTTAGATTTGAGAACATTTGATATTCTATAACTGTTCTCTATGAAAAAAAAATTTGAGAACACAATACTCAAAAAATATGTTCTCTATATAAATATAATATGAGTATAATAGCATAATACCAGATGGAACTAAAATTAGAATCGAGCGAAGTTCTGAAATCATCCGAAAAGAAAATGAATGAACATGGAAGATGAGAAGGGTTGGGACTAGGGATGGGTTTGGTTACAAACGGTCACGATTATTCATAGTCAATTTTCTAAATACTAAGATGATTTTTTATTTTTGAGCTTATAAATAAATTTGTTCAGAATTAAATTCTGTTCATCCCATCTTATAAGTAGAAAAAACGAAACTTTCTCTGGAACTCAATTTTAAAATTCTTAACGTTATAACCGGTTAATAATCGTTTATAACGTTAATAAATTTAGAAATTTTGAGTTCTAGAGAAGATATCATTCTTTCCACTTATAAGATGGGATGAACAGAATTTAATTCTGAGCAACTTTAATTAAAAGCTCAAAATGAAAAAATCATCCAAATATTTAGCAAATTGGCTATGAATAATCGTGACCATTTGTAACCGAACCCAACCCAAATTGGGATAAAAATTAGAATTATATTTTCCGTAATAATAAATAGAGATATCGATATAAATAAACTTCTGAGAACATTAAATTAAATAAATTTGCTCTCATGAGAACATAAATCTCGAAACAGATTTCCAACACTGCTTGCAACCTTTTAATTACATAAATATATACAAGATAATCAGCATTAAATATATCAATTTAATTTTTTTTATAAATTTGAATCGATAATTATTCACTATCCCAACTCATACCGCATAAAAATTTTAATTAGTAATGCTTATCGATATATGAGATAATGAATTGCATAGTAACACTTATTAAGCTGATGAAAAACTCATTTTTGTTGGATTAATTAGGTTAAATTAATAAATTAAAAATCGAATAAATCAGGATTGTTTCAGGATTGGATTTTTTTTCTCATGTATCTATCTGCTCAC